TAGTAAGATTAAAAATCATTTAATATGATGTAGCTTGTTTATCCTAGCCATCTTATGCCGAGTGATCGATCTTACCTGATCCTTTTACCTCCTTTTTCTCTGCAATGTATCCAGTTGAACTATGTGTCTGTGGCCTTCCGTGATATCTTTCTGTCCTTAGAGGGTCACAAGTTCTGGTGCTGATATCTCTCAGGGAGTTTATGTATTAGAAAGAGGCAGATTCAAGAGAGTTTATGTGGTAACCTGTACTGTGAGGGATTTATATTCTTCATTTGAGCTTGGAGATTCGGACTATTTTGGATGTTAAATATTAACAGCTAGACAGAAAGCAGTCTTTTTTCTCCTTTGGTCTGGGCTACTAAGGCTAAGTTGTAGTGCTCCGCCTGCCATCCCACCAGATAACTGCATATTAATTAGATATTGAATCTGAATGGTTTGTTTTATAAAAATTGACTGTTACATACTTAGATTTTTCTAAACAAGAACAATTCAAGACTCAGTACACATATTTAAATGATCCATGAAAAACACTGCTTAATTACTGCTTTTGATCTGTGAATTCTCAATCTTTAGAAATAATGTTTGTATTAAAACAATTTAGATTCCATTGTATCTTTAACATGGTAAACCATCTCACAATGATTCACAACATTATTGGGCAAAATTTGTCAAGTTTTAGCTGTTACTAAAATTGTTGAATTGGGCATTTGATCATTTACAATTCCCATGAAATTCTGACTAAGTTAAGCTTACTGTCTGTAGTGTGTCATACTAGTGTCATTTTTCCATTCTAAGCTCTAATGCCCATATTCTAGTAGAGAGAACTGAAAAAATGTTTTGTTAGAATTAGGTTGTGTCCCTTTCTCAAAAAATCAGCCTATATTGCAACAAAGCACCTGCCTACCTGCTACATGTTGCTATTTGACTAACTTACTAATATCAAATAATGCGGAAGACTTCACTCCTGGTGTTTGCTGTGAGAATTTGTTCTAAATATTGTAATTGAAAATTGCAAAATGGCAAGTTTTCTAAATGTTTGCTTTCTACTAGTTTCTGTTCCTACTGTCAAAACTAAGGTTGCAATGATATGTGAAAAATGGAAAATAGATCAAAAGGAGGAACTTACTAGTCTTAGTATAAATTTTAAAGGCATGATGTGGAAAAATAAGGAAACTAAAGGTAGATACAACATCAGGACCATATGATTTGCATCTCAGGATATTAAAAGAGAGAGAGTTACAAATGTTCTAGAAATTATGATCCAAAGTCTCTTGATTCAGAAATTCATCTCTTGGATTGGAAAATTGCCAGTGTCACTCCGTTATCTAAGATCTATAGAAGAGAATAACTAAGATATCTAACATCTGTTATAGTGGGGGCAGGGGCTGGTTGTAAGCAGATTTTGTTTGGAAGGGAATGATTGAACGTTTAGACATGAGCTGATGGAATACAATTAACATGGACTTGTAAAGAGTAAGTCTACCAAAAAAAATCTAATATAAACTTTTGAGGATGTTATTAAAGTAACTAAGCAATTTATTTTGTGAGATTCTGGAACGCATCCAATAACAATTCACACAAGAAGCTGTTAACAATGATATGGGATTGCAAACATCTAATGTAAATGGAAATGGGTTGTAAGACAGACTAGTTTGAGGATATTGTGGCATAACGATAGTGTCCTTTACCTCTGGGTCAGAAGGTCCAGGTTCAAGTCCCACCTGTCCTGGAGTTGTGTTATAACACTTCTGAACAGATTAATTTAAAAAAAACAATAGAGACGATAGACAGACACCAAAATTGGCGTGATTAGTGATGTCTCTAAAGGATCTACACTGGGAACTCAGTTTTTCACTATAATTGTAAATGATAAATATCCTGTTCCCCTTTGAAAACTGCAATTGAATCTGCCTCCATCATGCTCTTCAGAAATCAATTCAGATCCTAACCGATCAGTGTATAAAAAGGTTTTCCTCGTGCAACCTAGAGACAGAAGTAAAGATCTATGGATGCAGGTTTGCTGAGTTACGTCTCACAGGAAGTAATGGAGAGGGAAGCAGATAATCACAAAAGGACATCGATAGTTATGTGAGTGGTCAAAACTGGCAGATGGAATGCAATCTGGGAAAGTGTGAGGTCATCCACTCTCTGGGCCTAAAACAGGATAAACGGTGAGGAGCTAGTAACTGTAGGAGAGGAGTAGAAGGAAAGCCAATAAAATGTTTATTGGTTTATTGTGAGGGGAACTGAATTCAAGAATAGGGAGGTTATGCTTCAGTTATACAGGACAATGGTGAGACTACATCTACAGTACTGTGTGCAGTACTGGTTACCAAACTTACAGAAGAATGTTAATGCATTATAAGCAATTCAGAAAAGGTTTACTAGATAATACCTGGAATGAATGAGGAAAGGCTAGACAGGCTAGGCCTGTACCCTCTGGACTTCAGAAGAGTCAGAGGTGACTTAATTGAAACATATAAGATCATGAGGGGACTTGACTAGGTGGGTGTGGAAAGGATGTTTCTTGTGGGATAATCTGGAACTATGGCCGTGGTTTAAAAATAAGGGGATGTTCGTTTAAAACAGAGATGAGAAAAAAACTTTTTCTCGCTCAGCAGGTTGACAGTTTTTTAGAATTCCCTCCCTCAAAAAGCAAAGGATGTAGATTCTTGAAATATTTTTAACGCAGAGGTAGATAGATTCTTGATTACCAAGGGGATGAAAACTTATCGCGAAATGCAGGGAATGTGGAGATCAGTTTAAAATCAGATCAACCATGATCTCGTTAAATGGCAGAGCTGGCTCAATGAGCCGAGTGGCCTATTCTTATTTCTTGTTCTTATGTTCAAATGATTTAGCGCTCTTTGTACAAATGTGTTATAACTATTGGACAATGATGAAAAATAACTAAAAAAAAGCTAATGCAATGTTATTCTATATCTCAGTGAATCTAAAATACAAAGGGGGTAGGGTACAAATTTCTAAAAACTCTGGTTAGTTCTAACTTTGACAGACGGCATTCAGTTTTGTGCACACCCCTCCTCCACCTGCTCAGGACACATTGGTCTTTGAGGCTGTACAGCACATTGTGATGGAGTCCTCGAGTTATATACAGTTCCTTTCTACTAAGCAAGCCCATATTCTCTGTGGAATGTAACATTCAGAGGACACAGGTCCAGAATTCCTAAGTGGCAACATTCAGTTGTACCTGAGATTCGTCACTCAACAGTTCATGGAAGAACAACTCAAAAGATTACAGGCAGGGACTGAGGTCAGTGAACTGTGGAACAGGGAGAGAGAGAGAGAGAGAGAGCGAGAGAGAGAGAGCGATGATTTCTCCATGTCAAAATGCTGATGTCTAGCTTTACTGCAGGGAAGACAATGCGAAGTCATGAGCAGTTGACTAGCTCTCTGTAGCTGAGAAAGCTATTGAAGTACACAATCTGAGTCACAGAGTCAGGGAGTAGTCATTGGTGAATGCTGGTGTTGTGTCACTGAATAAGTATGGAGGGCAGTTATTAAAGTCAAGGGGAGTGTGAACCCAGGAAATGAAGGTGATCAATTAAAACAGGGATAGTTGTTGAGACGACCCATGATGGATAGCTCTTAAAAACTCTTTCAAAACCAGATCAGCAAAAATGAAGAATTATAAACTGTTGTGAAATTTACTAAGATTTGGTGACCCATTGGGCCATTAATGTCTTGGGAGGGATTTACTGAGAAATCTGTGACATCTTTCTTTGTCAAATTTGAAATTTGATGTGTGCTGTGGAGTGTTGAATTACAGCATGATATCCCTGTTTACCACATGTTAATTCTGGGTGTTCGGAATAAATTGTCCATGCATTGTAGATTGTATTACTGTTCTAAGTTGTAAAGTACAGCTGTTTGTTCAAAAATGTGGAATCTTGTGGCTTTATTCTTTTAGCAAGTCCCTGGATCATACTTTTGTCTACTTTAAAAATAAAGGTTACTAGTCCCAAACTGGATTGTAACGTTATTGATGCTCTGGTCTGGGATCACCAGAATTATACTGGGTAAGTGTTAAATCATAATTTATGTGTGAAGTTGTAACATATCAGTTCTGACGAAAGATCGCTGGACTCAAAATATTAACTGTTTTCCTCTCTGTATACAAGTTGCCATACCTGCTGAGTTTCTCCAGCACTTTCTGTTTTTGTTTCAGATTTCCAGCATCCACAGTTCTTTGTTTTATTTAGATTGTGAGAACAGGTTTGTTCTTTGTTTTATTTAGATTTAGATTGTGAGAACAGGTTGCATGACATAAGTTTATATTCCCTTAAACATAGAAGAATAAAGGGTGATCTAATTGAAATCTTTAAGGAGATTAATGTTTTCAAAAAGTAGAGAAAGGAACTATTTCATTTGATTTGGGGGTGCAGAAGGGGCATGCCCACAGATTTGGAACTGGGCAGTTCAAAGCTGATCTCAGAAGTTTGCCTGAATGTTTTTTCTTATTATTCATGCATGGGACAAGGATGTTGCTGGCTAAGCAGCATATATTGCCCATCCCTAATTGCCCAGAGGGCAGTTCAGAGTCAACCACATTGCTGTGGGTCTGGAGTCACACATAGGCCAGACTAGGTAAGGATGGCAGTTTCCTTCCCTAAAGAACATTAGTGAACCAGATGGGTTTTTCCGACAATCAACAATGGATTCATGGTCATCATTAGACTCTTAATTCCGGGTATTTATTGAATTCAAATTCCACCATCTGCCGTGGCAGGATTCAAACCTGGGTCTCCAGAACATTATCTGGGTTTCTGGATTAATAGTCCAGTGATAATACCACTGGGCCAGCACCTCCCCGTAGCTTCAAAGCTTTTATAAGGGAAATGTAAGCAATTTCCCCTATAAAAGCTTTGAAGTTAATTTAATTGAAGCATTTAAATCTGAGAATACCTCACTCTCCTTAGTGTGGGAAGAAAGACTGATAGAAAAGACAAATTTTAAGAAACTCTTTTCTTTTTATGTAGGAGCTGAAACGGATATATCCTTCTGAAATCAGTGAGCCAGTCATTCGCCCACTTCTGGAGTTTGCCTGGGATATGTTCTTATCTCAGAAAAAGAAGGTATTTATCTTTTATATTGCTACCTGAAGCTGCTCGGAACAGAGTCCCAGCAAATCACATCTAAGGCTGTGGATAGGGCTTTAAACTAAACAGTTGGGGAGGGGGTGGGGGGGCATGGAAAATTATGGAAAAAGTTAAAAGCAGGGAGGGCTCAGTAGAGGTTATAAGTTTCCAAAACAAGTAGGCCAAGGATTAGCAGATGGAGTTTAATACAGATAAATGTGAGGTGCTACGTATCGGTAGGGCAAATCAGGGCAAGACTTAAGCACTTAATGGTAAGGTCCTGGGGAGTGTTCCCAAACAAAGGGACCTTGGAGTGCAGGTTCATGGTTCCTTGAAAGTGGAGTTGCAGGTGGACAGGATAATGAAGAAGGCATTTGGCACAGTTGCCTTTATTGTTCAGTGCGTTGAGTAAAGGAATTGGGAGGTCATGTTGCGACTGTAAAAGACATTGGTTAGGTCACTTTTGGAACACTGCATACAATTCTGGTCTTCCTGCTATTGGAAGGATGTTGTGAAACTTGAAAGGGTTCAGAAAAGATTTATAAGGATGTTCCCATGGAGGCTTTGAGCTATAAGAGAGGCTGAATAGGCTGGGGCTATTTTCTCTGGAGCATCAGAGGCCGAGGGGTGATCTTATAGAATTTTCTAAAATCACGAAGGGCATGGATAGGGTGAATCAACAAGATCTTTTCCCCAAGGTAGGGGACTCCAAACTGGAGGGCACAGCTTTAAGGTGAGAGGGGAACAATTTAAAAGGGACCTAAGGGCCAACTTTTTCACGTAGAGGATGGTGCATGGAATGCACTGCCAGAAGAAGTGATGGAGCCTGGTACAATTACAACATTTAAAAGGCATCTGGATGGGTACATGAATAGGAAGGGTTTAGAAGGATATGAGCCAAATGGGATGAGATTAATTTAGGATATCTGGTCTGTATGGATGATTTGGACCATAGGGTCTGTTTCTATGCTGTACAGATCTATGACTCTATGACTCTAAGTAATAGAACAGAGACTATGGAGAGGGTCTAACTTAAGGCACAGCAGAGAAGGGGAGATGTCTCAGAAGGGGGGCAATCAACACAGGACTGAGGGTGTTGTCCTTAAATGCAGGCAGTATATGAAACAAGGTAAATGAGCTTGTAGCATGGATTGGAATTGTTGTTGTGATGTTGTGGCTATCAGAGAGATATGGCTGCAAGGGGATCAAGGCTGGGAAATAAATATCCTATCAAAAGGGCAAGCAGATGGGCAAAGGGGACGGAGTTGCCTAGTTAGTAAGAAATGAAATTAAACCGATAACAAGGAGCAATATAGAGTTGGAAGGTGTAGAATCTGTGTGGGTAGAGTTGAGGAACGGCAAATTAAAAACAGACCCTGATGAGGGTAGGCCTTGCAGTAGTGAGAATAGAATCATAATTTATTGTCACTTGTATTTTTACAAAAAATTGCAGTGAAAAGTATTTAAGTTGCTATACTCTGGTGCCTATATTAATAACAAAAATCATATCTTAAAAAAAGACCAAGTCCATCCTTGAGATAGAAAAGGCATTTGGAAAAGGCATGCAAGAAAGGTACTGTTACAGTAATCATGGGGGACTTCAATATGCAGGTGGATTGGGAAAAATCAGGTTGTGAGTCGATCTCAAGAAAAGGAATTCATGGAATTTTCTATGAGATGGTGTTTTTTGGAGCAGTTTGTGGTAGAACCCACTAGAGAGCAGGCATTTCTGGATTTAGTGGTATGTAATGAGGCATACAATGTGGTGAAGATTAGTGGGAAGCCTTTAAAAACAAGGCAGTAGGGGGACAGAAGATGAAATATGAAGGTAAGCTAGCTAGAAATGTAAAACAAAATTGCAAGTTTTCTAAAAGGCATGAAAGAGGCAACAGTGGGCATTGGCCCACTGAGAAGTGAGGCTGGAGAAGTAGTAATGGAGAACAAAGAAATGGCAGGGGAACTGAATGGGTATGTTGCATCAGTTTTCAATATGTGGAAGACACCATCAGCATACCAGAACACCAAGAGAGTCGGGGGTCAGAGGGGAGTGTACAGGCCATCACCAAGAAGAAGGTGCTGGGGAAACTGAAAGGCCTGAAGGTGGATAAATCTCCCAGACCAGATGGACTACACCCCAGAGTTCTGAAAGAGATAGCCATGGAGATTGTGGAGGAATTGTTGGTGATTTTTCAGGAATCATTGGAATCATGGAGGATTCTAGAGGAGTGGAAAATGAGGGAAACAGAAGACAGGAAACTATAGGCCAGTTAGCCTGACATCAGTCATAGAGCCTATTATTAAAGAGGAGATTGTTGAGTACTTGGAAGTGCATGGATAGGACTGAGTCAGAAAGGCTTTGTCAAGGGAATGTCATGCCTGACAAATCCGTTCGAATTCTTTGAGGAGGTAAAGAGCAAGTTAGACAAAGGAGAACTATGGATGGGATCTTATTTGGATTTCCAGAAGGCCTTTGGCAGGGTGCTGCACAAGAGGCTGTTAAATAAGGCTGTGGTGTTGGGGATGAGGTACTGGCATCTATAGAGGATTGGCTGACTGGCAGAAAGCAGAGAGCGGGGATACAGGGGTCTTTGTCATGATGGCAGCCAGTGACTAGTGGTATTCCACAGGGGACAGTGTTAGGATCACAATTATTCATGTTAAGTATTAATGATCTGGACGAAGGAGCTGAGGGCATTATAGTTGAGTTTGCAGATGACACAAAGATAGGTGGAGGACAAGTAGTGTTGAGGATCAGGGAGGCTGCAGAATGACTTGGACAGGCTAAGAGAGTGGGCAAAGAAGTGGCAGATTTATTACAATGTGGGAAAGTATGGAGGTTATGCACTTTGGTAGGAAGAAGAGGCGTAGAATAGTTTCTGAATGGGGAAAGGCTTTGGAAATCTGCAGTACAAAGGATCTTGGGAGTCCTAGTTCAGGATTCTCTTAAGATTCAGTTGACTGTTAGGAAGGCAAATGCAATGTTAGCATTCATTTTCAAAAGGGCTAGAATACAAAAGCAGGGATGTACTGGTTGGGCTGTAAAAGGCTCTGGATCAGATCACATTTGGAATATTGTGAGCAGATTTGGAACCTGTATCTAAGGAAGGATGTGCTGGCACTGGGGGGTTGAGAGGAGATTTACAAGAATGATCTGGAAGAACGCATCACATCAGAGTGGTTGAGAACCCTGGATCTGTATTTGATGAGTTTAGAAGGATGAGGGGAGAGCTGATTAAATCTTACAGAATACTGACAGGCCTGCATATAGTCGAATTATTTTTAAATGGACAGGTTTTAAAACAGTATAGTTAAAACATTTCATGGCCACCATTGCTGATACATTTTTCTAGTACAGATTTACATAATTAATTGAATTTAAATTTCCCCAGCTTCCCTGCTAGGGGAGGTGAGGGCCCAGTGATATGAAAGCTAGCTTATTAATCCAGAGACCCAGGTAATGCTCTGGGGACCTGGGTTTGAATCCCACCACGATAAATAGTAGAACTTGAATTCAATAAAAGTCTGGAATTAAGAGTCTAATGATGACTATGAAACCATTGTTAATTGTCAGAAAAAAACACCATCTGGTTCACAAATGTCCTTCAGGGACAGAAACTGCTATCCCTACCTGGTCTGGCCTCCGTGTGACTCCAGACTGACAGCAATGTGCTTGACTCTTTTAGGGATGGTCAATAAATGCTAGCCTAGCCAGTGACACACATTCCATGAATGAATTTTTAAAAATGTAATAGTAGAATTAAATAGGAATAAATGCACAAATGTTTTCAAAGTCACATTTGTTCATCTTGGTGAAAGTTACCGAACAGAAGTTAAAATGTAACAGATTTGAGTAAACAAAAGGGTCAAAACAGGGAGCAAGAAAGTCAAGGGAAAGACCCCTGATTGTGTCAGGGTGGGAGAGGTTGAAAGATAAAGGTTTTATGTTGCAAGTCCAGCCATAGGGATAATGAAACAAAAATACAAATAACTAACAAGAAAAGAGAAAATGTGGTTGAGTTGTGCTATTAGTTAAGACATTTAACAAGCATTAAAAGAGATCACCAAGTGAGCAGCAAATATAATGTACTAATTTGAAAGATGTAGAAGGATTGGGGTTCCACATTGGAGGGAGTGCCTGGCATCTTTAAGAGAAGGAGATAAAAGGGCAGGTGATCTGTCTCCTGTGCTTTCACAGAACAGTACCATAGGAAAGGGAAGTGGTGCTGACAGTTACTTAGGAGTGAGCGAGAATGTTGCAGAGGAAGTCTGGCAGTGGAAGATGTTTTAGTGATAGCATCACGCTGGAGCAAAGGATGGTGTGGTGGAAGATGAGGACAAGGGAGGTCCTATCAACATCATGGGAAGGAAAGGAAAAGTTTGGGAGCAGAAGTGTGAGAAATTATTTCTTGTTGATATCTGATGCACTGACATTGTGAACAATGAGACTATGCAGCAGGTTGAATGGCTTCCTTCTCTGCTCTGAGAATCTATGCTCTATACATTGCTTCATTTGGATGACTTGATACTCAAATTGACGAGAGAAATGTGCTTTAGTGCACATTCAAGTATTGCATAATTGTATACCTGTAACCAAATTAAAACTTTATTAGAAGTTGTTTATGAAGGTGAAGACAATCTAACAATGAGTACATCATATCTTTAGAACTTAAAGACACCAATTTTTTTTTACAGGAGCTTAAAGGTGACATGTGGGGCTTCTCCTCCCATGTCGTGTGCTTTATCAATGGCCAGCTTATTGGAGATGAGGAAGATTTCCTCAAATGGGCAGAAGATATATTTGGCTACGTAGATTTCAGACCGAAAGCTCTATATGATGCTATAGCTGAAGATTTTTATTCCAACTACCTGAAGGGCAGTCAGGTAAATATCAACCTTTCCTTAACACGAAATATCACAACTCCTATTCACAACAACATTGCCCCCCTCCCCCCACCCTTGCTGGCATCATAATTAATACAGAGAAGACAAAATGTTTAAAGTACATAACACTTTCGTAGATGATGTTTGGAAATATTCTTTACACGATAATAAACCATGTGATGGACTAGCTCAGCAAATCTTATTATCTGAGATTTGAGTATTGTCCTCCAGTTTTTAAACTTACTTTCGTTCTGTTTACTAATGTGGTCTTCCTGTGTCCTTTACCATTGTCATCCAAATAATCTTTTGCTTTAATATTATTGATATAATTGTGCAAACACAACAGGCCTTTAAAAAATGCACAATTACAGCATTTTTGTTAATTTTCTATTTCTCCAAAGCTTGTTGTTTCATAATAAAACAAAATTTACTTTGCTCTGAAGATAATCTCATGCACCTGCCATTCATCATTACATAGTGATTCTGATGGATCTGACACTTTGTTAAGCTTTGTAGAGCACTTTACTTATCAACTCACATTCAGGTCTCTAGCTTAAACCCAATTCCTAAATAATGTAGAGAACTGTTGAAGAAGTTAACAGTTGCAAAGCTAATAATCTCTTCAAATGACATCTTCAGTGATCCTGGCTCAGAAGGACCTCCAGAAACCTACTCAAGCTGTAACGTACCTGTGGCCATCCTATTTGTGGCTGAAGATCTAAAAAAAAAACTGGAACGAGTACATAAAAGAGGACGAAAACTTACAAAATATGATTGGTTGCATTAAGTTCAATGCTGTTTAAAGGCCAGAGGCAGAGAGGCAACAGACGAGCCCTTAACCTTCCCTTAGGCTTGTTTTTTGTAGAATTTAGAAGGTTAAGGGATGATCTCAAAGTTTTCAGGATATTAACAGGAGAAGACAAGGTAGATAAAGATAAACTGTTTCGACTGGTTGGGGATTCTGGAGCTAAAGAACATTATTTGAGAATTGGGGCCAGACTGTTCAGGAGAGATGTTAGGAGATGCTTCTACACAGAAAGGGTGGTAGATGGTTGGAACTCAGTTCCACAAATGGCAGCGGATGCAGGATCAGTTGTTAATTTAAATTTGAGATAAATTTTGTTAAACAATGTTATTAAGGGATATGGTCCAGAGGCAGGAATATCAACCATGTTCCCAGTGAATGGTGGAACAGGCTTAAGGGGCTGAATGGTCTACTCCTGTTCCTATAATTAAGAAAAAGTCTAAACTCCTTGCAGGTCATGGAATTAAAAATTGCTGAATATGTAAATTGGGTCAATCAACATCTAAAAGGTAAAAATAAACCTTTGTGCCAGGGTCATTAACTGAGATCGCAGTCGGATGCTGTCCACCTGGTTTACCCTTTCAATACATTTCCTCTTTCCTTACCACAGTTCCAAGATTTGCATTTTTCATTGTCCATTCAAAATTTTATCTCCTTGAAATGTTTTCTTTGTCAAAACCTCAACTGCCTGCATCAGGGGGCTTACTCAGAGCTGTGTAACTCCTACAATAAATCTAACACAGTTCTGTACTATTAGTTATACTGATTCTTAGCTGCAAGAATGACAGTCACTTCTTGTTTTTTTCAATTACTTCAAACAAACAGCATTCTTATCTGGTTTTGAATACCTCTTATACAGCAGACATCTTGACCTGGCAGCAACCAATTTGAGTTATCCTTTAGAATAACCCTACATGTGTTTCAGGGATGATAGATACTTCTACAACAGACCTTTTTGCTCTTTGCTAAACTCTCGGTTGTCATCTTCAAGAAAGGTCAATCCAACTAGTCTAATGTTTTGTCTCTATTTTCTGCAGCACACATTTGTTTACATGGACATTTCCATTGATCAGAAACCTATTGGGAGGTTGTTATTTGAGGTAAGGAATGCAGTGAAAGGTTGTTACTTACTCTTCTCCCTAGCAGCTCACACCCATCCACCCTCATTATCGCTCATATGGTGAAGGTCCTGATCCATCCTAGAGTATAGTTCCACAAGAATGAGAGCAACCATTGGATGTCCACTCTTCACAATGAAAATGTCTTGGGTATTGGCAGGTTGCGTAACTGGGAACCACTGCTCCGGAGCATGAACCTATCCCAAGTTCCAAATGTATAGATATTCATTTCAATAAGAGTCACTGAATAAATATATTTATTTCCTTCCCCTAATACAGCAATGCCAAGTCAAAATATATTGCACTCAATATTGTGTCACTGTGATCATTTATTTTAATATTAACCAGCTAGGTTCCCAGTCGCCATGGCTCAGGTCATGAATATCTTGATATTGGATGTGACTCAGTGATAACACACTCAGAACATCATGGGGGGGTTTAAGTCACATTCCAGAGACTTGAGTGAATGAACGAGCTTAAAATTGAAGGAACACTGCACTGTCAGAGATTCTGTCTTTCAGATGAAGCACTAGATTGAGATTCTTTCTGGATTGTCAAATGGACAGATTGAGGTCATGAAATGCATTATATAAATGCAATTCTTTATTTCTTGCAGGGAGGAAAACATATTCATGATTGCAGTTAAGGTCAGTTAACAAAGTACTGATACTAATTAATAATCTATTGATAGCTTTTTACAGATGTCTGTCCAAAGACTTGCAGAAATTTTGAGGAACTTTGCACAGGAGAAGCAGGTTTCTCACCTACAGAAATTCGACTGTGTTATCAAGGAAGTATATTTCACAGGCTGGTGAAGGATACTTGGATTCAAGGAGGAGGTGAGAACCAAAGGCTACTCTTTTCCAACAAGCATCATAAATCTACATGTTAAAATAGCCAGGATTGTGAACAGTACATGTCACATGTCTCACATATGGCATGAGTAAAATTAATTCCAGGAGTACGTAAGCAATAAATTGTAACGGACACTAGTGACTATAATGGTATTTGGAGCAGAATTATTCAAACGTTTTTTTTGTTTCTCAATTCTGATATCCATTCTGATATTTTCTTCCCAAAACCATAGACATTTTCAAAGGTAGAGGAGATGGTGGAGTATCTATATACGGAAAAACATTTGAAGGTAAAAAGAAGACACTGAGAAAGTTTTCTGGTGGAAGAATCATTACAGAGCATGGTTGTGGATGTCATTTATAATGTTTGTATGGCACCTAATCTTGGCAGTAAAGTTATGCCATATGTCCCTATGTTGAGTCCCTACAAGTGGAGAGTTTTGGATTCTGGCTGCTCAGGGAGAAGTATTGCAGTGTCCCAGAGGGAAAAAAATGACTATTGAATATTTCCAGTGCCATCTGGAGAGAAAATGACCCCCTCCCTACCCCTACTCCACACTGACTGTTAGCTTAGTATTTAGCCTGGCTCCCTAGCATCTGCTTGCCAGGTATACTTGAACCCAAGACTTTTAAGTGTGGTGGTCACTCTTTACGTAGTAACACTCCAGATGTCAGCCCAGTGCATAAACACTATTCTAGTTTTTCCCTCACTGGAGACACTTGGAGTGCAGCTCGAAAACTCTCCAATTTCTGATTCAGGTATGGGAATGCTACTGCTGATCTTACTTCGCTGGTATTTGTAGCCACTCGCCAATTCTTCAACTCATTTTTTTCTTGTAAAATGTATTTTGATTATTTAAGAACATAGAACATAATACAGTACAGGCCCTTCGGCCTGCCATATCTGCGCTGTATTATTCATAAATATATAATTATAATACTTATAAATATTTAAAAGTATTGTTGGTTCTTAATGTAGAATAATACAGTACAGGAACAGGCCCTACTGCCCGCCATATCTGCGCTGACCATGATGTCATTCTAAACTAATCCCATCTACCTGCACGTTGGTCCATATCCTCCTATTCCCTGCCTGTCAAAATGCCTCTTAAACATTATTAGCAAATCTGCTTCTACCAACTCCCCTGGCAGCATCTTCCAGGCACCTACCAGCCCCTGTGTTGAAACCTGCCTCTAGAAGCATCAACTATGAATTAACAAAATATATAAATAAATTATAACAGTGCGCAAAGTTTTTAGTATTAATAATCCTTCTGGATGTCAGCATTATCAAATTGTTATGATTAGATAAACACCATTACCAGTACTATAGTGTCATTAAGCAGTTCAAATGGCACAAGTCATTTTCATGGAAAATATCTCTAAGATTTAAATGCAGCTTTCATTGAATGATTTATCTTGAGACTTTGAATATGCCCTCAGTGAAATAATCCATGAAATAAATTGCACATATACAGCACTACAATCCTGCAAAATGAGGCGTATTCAGATTGGAATTATAAAAGAGCATTGGGATGAGGTTAGATTCTTACAATACATAATATCACTAAATCCCAAGTGTGTGAGTAAAGTGTCAACAGCTGAATACCAAGTGAAGGGATGATCTACAATCCGATTAAATAAGATGGTGCAAAATGGCTGGAACAACATGTTAGGTATAAGAGTTACGTGATGGGAGTCTAACCAAAGTAACACATAATCCAAAACTGTAAAAAAACTAATTAAGGTAAAGAGATAATAGCAAGTTATCAAGGTGATGCTGTAAAAACAGAACAGTAAGGAAGATTTTACACAGAACAGTATGGGTGGGGTTATATGTAGCGTGACATGAACCCAAGACCACGGTTGAAGCTATCCTCAGAACTTGACTATCAGTATCCTTACAAACGGGTGTTGTTTTGATCACTATCAATGCAAGAAATAGTTGCTAATACGCAGGATGTGTTTTCTGTTATTAGATGAGACCTTTGCAATCTCTCACTGCAAGAGAGGAATTCTTGGAATGGCTAACAAGGGACGGCACACGAACGGAAGCCAGTTCTATATCACACTGCAGCCAACTCTTTGGATGAACACCAAATTTGTAGCTTTTGGGTTGGTACTTCATAGAACATAGAACATTACAGCGCAGTACAGGCCCTTCGGCCCTCGATGTTGCACCGACCTGTGAGACCAATCTGAAGCCTATCTAACCTACACTATTGCATTATCATCCATATGTTTATCCAATGACCATTTAAATGCCCTTAAAGTTGGAGAGTCTACTACTTTCGCAGGCAGGGCATTCCACGCCCTTACTACTCTCCGAGTAAAGAGCCTACCTCTGACATCTGTCCTATATCTATCACCCTTCAATTTAAAGCTATGTCCCCTCGTGCTAGCCATCACCATCCGAGGAAAAAGGCTCCCACTGTCCACCCTATTGAATCCTCTGATGATCTTGTATGTCTCTATGAAGTCACCCCTTAACCTTCTTCTCTCTAACAAAAACAGCCTCAAATCCCTCAGCCTTTCCTCATAAGACCTTCCCTCCATACCAGGCAACATTCTGGTAAATCTCCTCTGCACCCTTTCCAATGCTTCCATATCCTTCCTATAATGCGGTGACCAGAACTGTACGCAATACTCCAAGTGCGGCCGCAACAGCTGCAACATGACCTCATAGCTCCAAAACTCAATCCCTCTACCAATAAAACCTAACATACTGTATGCCTTCTTAACAACGCTATCAACCTGGGTGGCAACTTTCAGTGATCTATGCACATGGACACCGAGATCTCTCTGCTCATCCACACTACCAAGAATCTTACCATTAGCCCAGGTTTATTCCCTCACTTTTGTCTGATCATTGCTGGTTTAACATAGTGGGAGCAAAGTGTTCCATCATGTCATATTGAAGAATTCTATTTAGAGAGACTGTAGATCCCCTATCTGGTGTGAACTTGGGTTACGTCTGTGTCACACAACTATACAATGAAATTCTTCCCCAGTCAGTTTAAAAGACCATGGTTAACTTATTGTTCAGTTTGAGGTTTGTCATCTTTGTTTTACCATTCTTAAGGACATTTTTTGCGAGGAAAAATTAATTTCTAAGTTTTCTGTTTAGTTTCTTATCTCAAGTTAGGTTTAGAAACTCATCATTCAAAGAGATGTCCTGCTATTCTGAACATACGATACACAATACATGAACAGACAAATGCAAACACAGATGGGTACATGTTGGAAGCAATCTTGCAGGTCCTCCAGAAGACTTTAATTCTGTGGGATACAAAAGTCAGCTTCTCGATGATAGGTTAAGGATCCACCATTAAGTTCTCAGAACTTTTCTGGTGAACTGGCTTCCCCATCCTTCATTGTTAGGATCCTGTTTTACACTTATTAGCTTGCAATGTATATTCATTCAAACCTCAGACTGCTGTATTCATGTTCCCGGGTCCAAGCTGGTTTCCCAGAAAAAGAAGGATGTGTCTTGGAGGGTAACACACTGTGGAGCTAAAGGAACACAGCAGGACAGGCAGCATCAGAAGAGCAGGAAAGTTGACATTTCGGGTTGGGACCCTTCTTCAGAAATGGGGGAGGGGGAAGGAAGTATCCAAAATAAATAGAGAGAGGAGGGGTGGGGCTGGGGAAGGTAGGTGGGATGGTGATAGGTGAGTGTAGGTAGGGAGTGGTGGGGATTGGTCAGTGAGGTGGGAGAGAAGATGGACAGGTTGTGTCAGATCAAGGAGGCGGGGATGAAATGGTCGGTTGGTCATGGGATGAGGTCAGGGGTGGGGAGATTTTGAAACTGGTAAAGTCCACATCGAGACCATTGGGTTGCAGGCTCCCAAGGCAGATGATGAGGTGCTGCTCCTGCAGTTTCTGGGTGGCGTCATTGTGACACTGGAGGAGGCCCACTAGCCCCACCACCCCGGTACCTTTCTCTGCAACCGCAGGAAGTGCTACATCTGCCCCTATACCTCCCTCCTCACCTCCATTCAAGGCACCAAATAACTGTTTCACAGCAGACAGAGGTTCACCTGCACATCCGTCAATGTGGCCTATTGCATCTGCTGCTCCTGATGTGGCCTCTTCTACATCAGAGACACCAAGCGGAGGCTCAGAGACCACTTTGTAGAGCACCTGTGCTCAGTTCGCGACAAACGACAACACCTTCCAGTCACGAACCATTTCAACTCCCCCTCCCTGGGCGACATGTCCATCCTGGGCCTACTCCGGTGTCACAACGACGTGGGCAGCTGAAATGAAGTGATAGACATTGATTGCGCATGAGGTATCTGATGGAGATGCCTGGAACCCAACCTCCTGTGGGACAGTTCACAGCAGGGACAACTTTACAATGCTACCTCACATTCACAGGTGCATGAAATATGTAGACAGTGCTACACACCCTGGTCAGCACTGCAGATCATATATCCTCATCTCACGGAAACCTGGGTTATCTTGAGATCCCCATGAGTCCTGATGTCTGCAGCCACTTCTACCTAGGCTGCTTTCATCCTACTACCGTCCATCGGTAAAAGAACTTCTCTCCTGGACTGCCTTCAGGAGATCCTTTAGGGAGGCATTACTGAACTGATGTGCTTTTTTTAAGAATATATTAATTTATGAGACATGGACATCTCTGGCCAGGCCAGTATTTATTGCCCAGAGGGCAGTTGCCAGTGAGAGTCAACCACATTGCTTTGGGTCTGGATTCACATGTAGACCAGGCTGGGCAAGGATAACAGATTTCCTTCCCTACAGGACATTAGCAAACTAGATGGGTTTTTCCCCGAATAATTTGCATAGTCATTGTTGGACGATAATCCCAGATTTCTATTGAATTCAAATTCCGCCATCTGCCATGGCAGGATTCAAACCTGGGTCTCCAGGTCATTACCTGGATCTCTAGATTGATAATCTAGTGACTATACCACCAGGCCATCACCTCCCTGCCTCTTTTTTACTGACATCTTTGGGCTGGTTTGGGGTGATGAGCAGAGGTTGAATGATACTCCTGGATTGCAGCAAGTGAAGTGCCATCTGGGTTCCTTTTAAATATGGTGCCCTGCTTTTGGATTCCAGAAAGTCCCAATGGTTTGTTTCCTGCCCATAAAATTCCCCGTTTTACCCATGCATGGTTGTGCAGTGAGCTAAGAAGAACATAATCATGCAGGAGAAACCTGGAATCCCTCATTTTCACACTTGCTTCTACGGTCCCTGAAAGAAATGTATTTCTGCCTATTGTATCTGATGCTGATGGTATAAGAAAATCCACTCACTTAAAGGGGCGAGCTTATATTTTAATTCAAAAACCAAGGAGCAGGTACAAGGCCAATAATACAGGATATGTCTAAACTTGAAAATACTGAAAGAGAAGATGTGGTAAAAGAAGGAAGTGATTAGTGGATCCCATTCCCGCGTTTTAAAGGATGTAATGTTGTAACAGAAAGTAAACATTGTGGGAGTATAGGGACTGCTCAGTTTTGAACTGGGAAAAGAATTAGATTAGGACACTGTACACTGAAACATAGTTTCATTGCAAATAATAGGAATGGTATGGAACTTAGATATAACAAGAGCAAAATTTAGAAGAGTGCTCTGTGGAATAATGTGAAGAAAACAGAAAAATCAAGAAATGTTGTAATAGAGAAAAATGACCATGTCGTCTTTTGGCAGCAACTTCCCAACTGTCAATTTCTAAATGAACAATTACAACAGTCACTTGGGAGTTCCCCTCCAAATCACACACTGTCCTGACTTGAAACTTTTCATTGCTCTTTCCCTATTGCTGAGTCAATATCCTGGAACTGCCTTCCCATTAGCACTGTGTATGGAATTACAGACACATGGGAATCCAGTGATTGCAGAAGGAAAGGAAGAGGTCAAAGACAACAGCCATATGGATACAGCATCAGCTGTGAGTTCCTCTCCAAGTCACACTCAATGCTAACTTAGAATTGGGGCATTACTCCTTCACTGTCTCTGAATCAAAGTATAGGATTCCCTCCCTAATAGCACTGCAGTACCAACACCACATAGAGAGCAGTGATTCAGAAAGTCAGATCACCACCAGCTTCCCAAAGGCGATTAGAGATCATAGAATCATAAAATCTCCACAGTGTGAATGCAGGCCATTTGGCCCATCGAGTCAAGTTGGGTGGCCAACAAATGCTGGCCTACCCAACAAAGCCCACATCCCATGAATGAATTTTGAAAAACTTTGACAGAAGTTAAATAATAAGTGATACACAGGATCCACAGTAATCTTTTCCCTGTATCTTAACCTAAGGATGCATGAGAGATATTTGAAGATTTTCTCAGATAGTATTCAAGTATTATGTTAAATACCCATCAATTCATTCTTTTCCTTCAGAATAAAACCTTCCCTGAACTGAATCTTCTTTTATTTTGACAGACAACTGGTAGCAGGCACAGAGGTTCTCGAGGAATTGGAATCAGTTTCCACATATAACGAGAGACCAACAGTGGAATGTAAAATCACAGACTGTGGCCGCTATTCTCCCTAAATATCGTTACTCTTTTAGTTTGGCAAACACACTATAACCTGGGTCTCCTGTCCATTATTTATTATCCTCACAGTTACATGTTTCCTTGTTTGACATATACAAAGTGGGGTCTTTAATACTCTGTGGTAAATTATATATGAATGAAGGTGAAGATTGTCACTGCCAACAGACTTGGGAATGAGTTTCATAAACTCTAGCAGAAAAAAAAATTCCCAATCTTAGGCTGCAACTTACTATTGCTGGCATTTGCATATTAATCCTTGTAGTGTGGAAGTCCTGTGTCTGCTAGTTTAACAAGCAAGATCCCACATTACTTTTAGGATATAAACATGAACTAACTGCACAGAGGCCAGTATCCCATCACCAAGTCACCCTGTATTTACTTGTGCAGAGTACACCAACTGTGGCCCAGTCAGCTCAGAGTCAGTCCCTGAAGTCAGGAGATTCTAATTTCCTGGTTATACTGGTCAGCCAGGGCTTTCCTGATTAGGGTTGTTAACCTGAGCCGATCAACAACTTTGCAGTCAAAGAGGTCAACCCGGTTCCAATCTCCCTACTGCTTCCCCACTAAATCCAGGGATGTAGGCCTGGATTTTCACTGTAGCTTTTCATGCAACGTTTTTGTCCCAAGTCCGATTCCTCTGATTCGGACTGTGACACGGGTGGCGTGTACCTGACTGTAGCCCACCTCTTGCATCTGGAACATCTCAGGAGAGTTTCCTCCTCTTCTTCCGGCAGTAACGGTATCGAAGCTGCATCCATGTCAGACTCTAAGGTTTCCTCAACATGAGATGGAGTGGGAGACCCTATGTTTCCAACAGGCTTTCTGGCTGTTCTGAGGGTCCAGATATGTCTTGCTCCTGTCCCGTTTACAAGATAGCAGCTTTCAGGTGACCCACGTGTTTGTTCAGGACTGTATCACCTACTCAAACTTTGTAAGTCACGGGATCTGACCTCATATCAACCTCATCTCATACCGATACAGGGCCATTTCCATGGTTCTGGCGCCAAACTTAATCCCCAGAATTAAATTGTCTCTCTCGTTTAGAGTGTGGCCACCAATGGTGTTCCTGCTGCTGTTTCACCCTCCCCCTGCCCCTGCCAGGGCTAGGAATATCAGGTTTATGGCGGTGCGGATTCTTCTCCCTATCTGCAACTCTGCTGGAGCTATCCCTGTTGTTGCATGTGGGGTGGTCCTATAATCGTACAGGAATGGGGACAGTTTGGTATTAATTGATGCTGTAGGCTGCTTCAATAAGCCTGCCTTCAATATTTGGACTGCTCTTTCTGCTGGACCACTGGACAATGGATGGTGTGGAGCTGTCCTTATGTGCTGAATGCTGTTTGACTTTAGGAAATATTCAAATTCCCTGCTGGTAAATGACGTCCTATTGTTGTGACCAATATTTCCGGGAGTCTGTGTATTGCGAACAATGCTCTCAGCTTCTCAGTCATCACCCCCGAGTTTGCTGAATGAGCTTTATGCATGTTCAACCACTTTGAATGGTGTCCACAATGACCAGGAACATTGAGTCTATGAAAGGACCGGCATAGTCGACATGCAACTGAGTCCAGGATTTTCCCGGCCATTCCACCGAATGTGGGGGCACTGCTGCTGGTAGTTTTTGTCCTTGTTGGCACTCTGGGCACTGCCCCACCGACACAGCTCTGTTGGCATTCAACCTCGGCCACCAGACATAGCTTCTTGTTAGTATCTTCATCTTTAAGGTTTTGGAGTAGATTTGTAGCTCGGGTTGTGGGTGTTGAGGTTGGTTGGCTCGCCGAGCTGGTTTGTTGTTCCGCAGATGTTCGTTACCGTGCTTGGTAACATCCTCAGTGCAGCCTCTGATGAAGCGTCGGTGTGTTTTCCCGCCTGGCTTTTAAACTCTGGGATCCGTGCGATGGATTTCCTCACTTCCGGGTTTCCTCCGTAGTGGAATGTATATGGGGTCGAGTTCAATGTGTTTATTAATAGCTTGCTTCGTGGAGTGCCATGCTTCCAGGAATTCTCGTGCTTGTCTCTGCCTAGCCTGTCCCAGGATCTTGGTGTTGTCCCAGTCGAAGTCGCGGTTCTCCTTGTCCATGTGGATTGAGATGAGTGAGTATTGGTCGTGTCTTTGTAACCAGTTGGTGTTCATGTACCCTTGGACAAACAGGAAGGAAACTAACAACAAGAGTACATGAACACCAACTGGCTACAAAAGGACACGACCAATACTCACTCATCTCAATCCACATGGACAAGGAGAACCAGGACTTCGACTGGGACAACACCAAGATCCTGGGACAGGCTAGGCAGAGACAAGCACGAGAATTCCTGGAAGCATGGCACTCCACGAAGCAGGCTATTAATAACACATTGAACTCGACCCCATATACATTCCACTACGGAGGAAACCCGGAAGTGAGGAAATCCATCGCAATGGACCCCAGAGTTTAAAAAACAGGTGGGAAAACACACCGACGCTTCATCAGAGGCTGCACTGAGGATGTTACTCAGCACGGTAACGAAACGTCTGCGGAACAACAAACCAGCTCGGCGAGCCAACCAACCTCAACATCTTCATCTTGGAAACCCCTGGATGACCCTGGTGGAGTTCAGCCAGTATCTGGCAGCAACCTTTACTCGAGCCAATCACCTTTACTTCCCACACAGTAATATGCCATCCTGTAAGGTGATCTGGTCTCACCGGGTCCAGAAAGATTTCAAACTGGGTTGCGATGGCCCTTCTGTTTCCCCCATTACCAGCAGCTGTTTTAGTTTCACTAGGACAGAATCTTTTTGTGTCCATAGTCGGATTTTGTCAGCGGTGACTGGAAGGGTGTCTAGAAACCAAAATGGACTCTTCCAGGGGAGGCATCACTGGTGGAGTATCTGCTAGTGGGAGGCAGTTCAGGGCATCCACATTAGCCACTTGACTTCTTGGATGGTGTTCCAACTTGTACTTATATGCGCTGAGAATAAGGGCCCAGCGCTGAATTCTACTGGAAGCTATGGGCAGTACTGCCTTGTCTTCCTTCAGTGGCTCTAGCACGGGTTTGTGATCTGTTACGATGACAAATTCCCATCCGTAAAGGTACTGGTGGAACTTCTTCATCCCAAAGATGACCGCCAAACCTTCCTCCTCTATTTGGGCATATTTGTGTTCAGCATCAGCCAAAGTCTGGGAAACATACACTATTGGATACTCCTCGCCATTGGACCACCGGTGAGCCAACACTGCCCGAATACCAATCGCATGTCAGTATCACCTCTCACTTTGGATCGTAGTGGGCCAACACCTTAGATGACAATAGCTGCTTTTTCATTTCCCTAAAGGCTACTTCTTGTCTATGCGACCTTTTCCAAGGCTGACCCTTTCTCAATAGCAGCTGTAAGGGTGCCAAGACGGAGGCCAGGTTACGTATGAATTTTCCACAATAATTCGCAGGCCCAAGGAAAGACCTAAGTTCTGGTACAGACGTGGGAGCTGAGGCACCTTTGATCACCCTCACTTTATCTTCCAATGGGTGTGACCCGGTTTTGTCGGCTCTGTGACCAAAGTAGGTCACTTGGTGTACCTGGAACACACATTTTTCCCTTCCAGTGGCATATGCCCGCCTGGGAGAATTGTTTGGCAATATATCCAAGTGTTCTTTATTGGTGTTCCCAGTTAGTAACACATCCTCCAGATAAATGGCAACCTGGGATAGCCCTTGTAAAATGTTCCCCATGGTCCACTGGAAAAGGGCACAGGCTGACAATACCCCAAATGGCAGTCTCATATAATGATATAAACCTTTACGGATCTTATTTGTAGCGTACTCCTCAACCAGCCGCATTTGCAGTAGGTGTGGCTCATGTCCAGCTTCATAGCTCCCCCGCTAACTTTGTGCAAATCCTCTCTGCAAGGGATCAGGTATTTATCCAATTGCAAGAAACAGTTTACCATTTGCTTAAAATCCCTACAAAGGCGAACTGAGCCGTCAGACTTCACAACTGACTGGTGCTGCCCATTCTGCAAACTGCACTGGTTTGATGGTTCCTTCGCTCTCCAGCCTCCTGACTCCTGCCTTTACTTTTGCCCACAAGGCAAATGGCACCAGGTGGGCCTTGCAAAATCTCGGAATTGCTTCCTGGTCAGCATATAAAGTGGCTTTGGCTGCTTTAATAGTCCCAAGCCCTTCCCGAAATGCTCCTGAGTATTTAACTAGGGCTTCACTGAAGCAGCCATTTTCTAATTGAAAAATTCTAGATGAATCAACCAGTTCTGCCCCAATAGGCTTTGGCCCAAGACATTTACTACCATCAGTGGTAACTGCACCAACTTATAGGAAACCGGAACCAAAGTCATACCCTTAATCTGCAATGGTTCCCAGTGTATGTTCTCAGTCTGGCTGAGGTCTTGTGCAAACTTAAGGGTTGGAGTCGCGAGTGAATTTTGTTAAAGACCGATTCCACAACCACAGATAGAGCTGCGTTGGTATCAACGTCCATGGGAACTGGGTGACCATTTAACCAAACATTAATTTTAATCGGTTCCAATTTGGATGTAGTTAAGCGACTTAATTGTTCCAACCCATGTTTAGGGGATTTTCTATAGTGTGCTCTGTCCTGGGTACATGTCTATAAGCTTTCTTACACAAGTTAGGCCTTGTAGGATTCCTTTGCTGTCTCAAGTCCGCATACCAGCAGCAACTACAATGACTTGCCGGTCCAGATCCTGAAAAACTTATTAGCCACTTGGCCAAACATCATCTGTGTTGTGGGCTTCTGCTGTTGTCTGGCCTCGGGTCCCTCTACTCAGAATGTGCCCTGTGTCAGGCTCTGTGATTGGTTACACTCAAGTGGCATTCCACAAGCTCAAGTCAGAGAGGTAAGGGTGTCCTCTTCTGTTGGGGTGCCCTGTAGCTCCCATGCTCCCCTTGCTGCATTTTCTAATGTTTGAAGTCCAGTTGGACTTCAGCTAGTAGGCACTTCTGTATGGTTACATCATTAATCTGACATACCAAATGTCTCTCAGCACCTCATTCAGTGTAACCCAAAATCATAAGCTTCTGCCAGTCATCTCAAACTCATCGAAAATCCCAGTATGGATTCCCCCCAGTTCTCTAAAAGCCGAATACAGCCGATAACATCTCAGAATTAGAGGAGATAGCAAGAACTGCAGATGCTGGAGTCAGAGATA